GAGGACAGCCCCCTGCCTGGCCCGAGGGCTCCCGCATCCACAGGCGGCCGGGGCTCCACTCCAGACGGCGCGCCCCGTCGGGGGGGCAGCCTGGGGTGGGGCCTGCCCACACCTCACACGGAGCCGCGGGAAGGCCCGGAAGGAGGCAGATGAGGGAGAATTTCGGTTATGGAGGCGCCAGCAGATGGACGGCATTCACGCCACACAAAAGGAGACAGTCTATTTTATCAAATAAAATGCAAACCACTTCAGAGGTTGAGCTTCGGGGTCTTCGCCCATTCAACTGGTACCCTCCCCTCCTCCTGCCTCTCCCACCTGTTGGGACCCCACCACACAAAGGAGAGAAGCGCTCTAAACCGAATGCAAATTGCCTGCTTTCAGGACAAGACAGCGTCAGCTACCCACAACTAGACACGGGGGTGAAGCGCGCCAGCTGCGAGGCAGGGAGGCCGCCAGAGCCTCCACAGGGAGCAGCGGTGAGGCCCGCGCCCGTTCCTCACTCCCACTTGTGAGCCGGTCTGTTTTTAGTACCACAGGCTTAAAAAATACTCGTGAAACAATTAAGCTTCTATACAAAGTGGACTAAAATTTATTTCAAGTTTCCTTGTCAAGTAACCATATTACGTAACCTAACAGGATTAAACTTTTCATCATTACTTGTCAAGTTCTAATAAAACATCTATAAAAGTCTGATTTATGGTCAAGCAACAACTGGTTCTAGAAGATGATTACAGTACAGATGAAGTGACCTCCGAGGCTTAAAGGGCCGCGGCCGAGTGCAGTGCTTAAGGCCGGGCTCCATCCTGGCCTCCTCTCCCTCCTCGCCCGAGGCAAGGCAGGGCAGGAGGCAAGGCAGGGCGGGCTCGGGGGCGTTTCTGATCCCACATCAGCTGCTGGAGGACGCTCTGGTCCCTGCACACGCCCCTTCCCGGAGGAGCAAAGGGCTTTTTAGATAAGCTCCAAGTTCAAGCTGCAAATCAGGACACACAGGGCTAGGCAGAAGCTAAGCCTCATGCTAAGGAGCACGCGTTACACACGAGCCCCCCAGAGCAGCCTGGAGTTGGGCACTCTGCCTCAGCCTCTCCCCCGGGCAGAGGGCCGGGACTGGGTCCCAAGCGTCCTTTCATCCCCCGAGTTCGCCCGGTGTGGTTAAGCTGACACTGTACGTGGTCCCTCAGGCTTTGCAGCGAGCCCACTGGATGCGGACAGGCTCCTGCTGGCTGGAGGCTGTGCATCGCGAGGCAGGAAAAGCCCCCAGGATGGGTAAGGTCCCTGACTCGCCTGCAAAGCCCTGGCGGCATTTACCACCAGGGCTCATTCACTCAACGTCGCAGGCTTCACGCAGCGGCCGTGTCCCTCTGGACCTGGTCGCAATGAAGTCTGGGTCTTGCAGACAAGTCTTGGTGGCAGGAGCCCACGACAAGCTTTGCTGGGCCCGTAACGGGGGAGGGAGGGGGGGCGACTCTGCCCACCCACCTCTCTGGGGTCCAGGTGAGCTCCTGTTCCATCAGCACCCCCTCCTCCCTCAGTCCCGCCTCCTTCTGCGGTGCACAGGTAATGACCCGTGGGGAACACCAGGTGGTCTAGTTCACGTCCACGAAGCCTGCGGCCATGCTGACCAGGAGACTGCTGGTGATGAAGAGCTCACTGGGAGGTGAGACCAAGCCCCGGCAGCAAGAAGGGGCCCGGCTGGCCCCGCAGATGCCAGGAGCGAGCCGCCGGGGCTATGGTGCCCCCGGGCTGCCACTCAACCGTGTGACCACACGTGGGTGATGGGAGAAGGGGTGTGAGGCGGGTGCCTGCCTGCCAGCTCCGGGGCACCCCTCTGAGTCTCTCATCAAGAATTCTGGGGCCAATGACAGAAAACCTGCCCCCCGCTTCCCTGGCGCTCTTCCCCAAAGACAGAGCGGAGGAGAGATGGGCCGGGACAGACACCAGGACCCGGTGATGCTGATAGGGACACTCCTCGCCTTGACAAATCTCGGTGGTGGCGGGCTGCCCCCCGCCCCCCCACAGGTGTCTCAGCTCCCACCTCAAAAGGAAGTGGCATCACCAGCTGAGCTAACATCACAGCTCCGGGCAAAAGGATTTTCAGGGACACAGCAGGGTTTTGTTTTGCAAAGGTCTCAGAAGTGACAGGCCTGAGCCAGATCTACATAAGCGCTGGGAGGGCGGCTGGCGCCCAGCAGTAGATCTTCTGTTTGCTAAGCCATCTTCTTCGAAGGAAAAACAATTATTTTTAAACCTTGAAAATATCAGCGAAGAGCCGAAGTTCAATCCAAATCTCTTAGGAAAACAAAGGTGTCCCTAAGCTGTGCACAGAGAGGCCGTGCGAGCGGAGGGTCCCGCCTTCTGCAGACCCCTCCCCACTCTGAGCAAGTGAAGAGGCCACTTAGGAGGCGCTCGTGGGGGGACAGCAGGGGAAGCAGAGGCTCCTCTAGCTCAGTGACCGCCCCCCCCCCC